GCGGGTGCTGATGTAAAGCTCATGCACATATCAAAGGACTTTAACTCTTCAGCTGATGATTTGTCACTTCAAAAGATAAATATAACTGAAAAGGATCTGGAAGATCTTTGTCTTTGAATCAACACATCCTTGGTATCTCTCTTCCAAGTTATTCCAGTTTTAGCGTTGGGAGGATTAGAAACCAATTTCTCAGTCAAAAATTTTGATACAAGTACAACATCATGGGTCAATCCAAAAAGATGTCACCTATGTTAAACATTACTTTAAAAGAATTGCGTAAATTATCAAAAGAAGATTGCCATTCAACTGTAGCAAAAACATTATTAGCAAAGTATAGATCATGTTTTAGAAGTTCTGCAAAGTGGTGTAAAAAATTTAAACAGCCTTTTATCCCTAATGTAGAGAATTGATGTGATTATGTTTCTTATTCCTGTTGTGCCATCTAACCCAGATCCGTCCAAGCTTATTTAGTGGGTATAGCGCACATTATTAATAGTTGTTGGTGACTCGTAATTAACAGATGGGAATGTGGGATAATTCGGACTGTAAGATTTGTACCTGTACTGTTACTGACGGGTCCGATCTTGGTTTTTAAATCTTTGTCTACAGTTATGATGTCATGAGGTGTTTACCACTCTTGACCATCCTTTCCGAATTATCCACCCATTGGGTTTCACAACCGTTTCTCTTTAACAGATAGTTCTTTTATTATTTTTTGAAGCCCTCCCTCCCTTTGGTTCCCTGTGTCTAAGGTTTGTTATTTTTGTGTTTTAGTTGGTAATAAATTTTTGTTTTCAAGAAGGGTGTTTTTTGGTTTCAGATCTCTCGTGGATATTTTTTAGTTTTTTTTTTGAGAGGTTTCATATCTATTGTTCATTTTTGTTTTGGTGGTCACTTTTTTTCTTTGTCAGGCTAGTTTGTTTTGTTAGGTTTTTGGTTTTTCAATTGTTATTTTAGAGGTTTTTTCTTTTTGGTTATGGTTATGTTTCTTATTTCAGATGTTAGTTTTGTTTTTTATTTGTGTTGTGTCCGCTAGCCACCCCGTAGGGAGCTTTTATTTTTTATCTCAAGAAATTTATTATCCCTAGGCGCTTAGCCTTGGGAATTTGTCCAAAAACTGTCCTTAGCTTTTTCTTTCAGTATTTTTTACTGAACACTTTGTAAGTTTATTGATACACATTTCATCAAATTTCCCTTCTGTTTGTTGTGAATCAAGACATCAAGGAGTGATTGATACCATGAAGCATTGTCCTAATGAATGGTCAATGCCAGTTGTCAGAAAGAAAGCATTGTCACTCCATCAAATCAAAGAAGTCGTGAAAAAGTCATCATCTTCTCACGAAAATTTTGGGGGTTTGCATTGTCTAGGAGAACTGGCAATTCCGGATTTGGTTAATCTTTATGATGAAAGGAAAATTATCTTATGTTGTGCGCTTCAGTTTTCAGTTTGCAATTTGTTCGTACAGTATCACCTTCCATATTCCAAGGGCAACAAAAGGTTCATTAGAACCCCAGTCATTATCCAAGATTTTGGAAACACCATTGGGTGTCCCATCTGTCTTCTCAAATCTTACCTACGTTCAAGAGATACAAATCTCATTTCATTCCCAGAACTATTCATTACCTCCAAAGGCACCCATCCAACTTGTTCCTGGTTTAACGCTTTCATTCTCAATATGATATATCTTTCTCAGGACATTCTTTAAGATCTGGAGGTGCGACTGCTTGAGCTCAAGCAGGTGAAACAATGGATTATATCAAAATTGTGGGGCGCTGGTCATCAGACGCTTTCCTTATATATGTTTTAGGTCACTGTGCTCTCCAATTACCAGAAAATCAGAATCATGTCATTGGTCACACCTCTCATGTTGGATATAAGGTTATTTTCAAATAGTTAGTCTGGATTCAGATGGTCAATGGCATATGTGCCTTTAGAAGTTCTTCTTTATTTGCAGGTCAATGCATATATTTGTGTTCTTATGGTTAATGGTGGTGGCCTTTTTACACGGTTAATGGCTTTATGCCTTGTGAATCATTTTTTGTGTGGCAATTGTTCATTTTTGTCTTATCCATCTGAATAGTTTGGTGAAACAGATCCTGACAAATCATTCTTTTTTATTAAAATTCTCTTCCTCTCCTTCTACACCACTCTTTTGGTATGCTGGTAGGCGGGTCGGAGAGGGTGTTGTTTTTGTTTCCAGTAATATTATATCCCTTGGCTTAGGCCTTGGGCTTTGCACCAAACACTTTTCCTTTGGTATTCTAACAGTAAGTTTTAATGATCCCATTTCTTGCTGTTGGTAACTTGTTATTAACTCAGTGGAATGGGAAAAGTTGAGTTTATTACATTACACTGCGAATATAATGTATTTTTCCGAGGTGAAAAATGATTACATTTATTTCACAAAATGATTAAAAATGCATTAATTCTGCATCAATTCTGCATTTTTCTGCATTATTTCTGCATTATTTCTGCATTATTAATCATTTTGTGCATTAATGTCAATCATTTTTCACCTTTGAAAAATACATTATTTTTGCAGTGTTACATGTTTGGTCCAGTAACTGACGGGTTGGGTTTATCCAATCTTATCATCTTATCTGTAGGTATGATGTCATACCTGTTAACCACTCTCTTTATCATCTTCCCATCGTGTTCACTATTGTCAAAGTTTCCTTTCTTCAAACTCAAGTATCATCATCCATTTTGTTAAAACTCATATCAATTATTAAAATTCTGTTGTTAAGTGCGGTAATTATATTTCTTATGTGGTTTGAAAAAAAAGAAAAGAAGTGTTTCTCCATTGAGTGATAGTTGATTGGCTTAGTCTTATTTTACATTTATATTTATCATTTAATTTTACATCTTTTTGTTATCATTAATTTATTTTATCTTGTTATTTTATGTTAGGTATGGTGGTTTATGGTTCCAGTGAAGCTGTGTTTTGATTTTAGTTTGTGTATGGTTTTGTTTCATTTTAGGCTGCTAGCCACCCCGTAGGCCGTTGTTTTTGTTTCAAGTAATATTATATCCCTTGGCTTAGGCCTTGGGCTTCACACCAAACACTTTTCCTTTGGTATTTGGATACCAAACTAACAGTAAGTTTTAATGATCCCATTTCTCCTCAATCCTGATCCAAGGTTTACAATGTTTGGCCAAAGACTGAGTGTCTGTAATGCTTGTTTTCACTTTCCAATGTTGAATACTTGTGAGATGAAGATGAGTGGAGATGCAATGCAATACATAATAGGAGAGATAAAATCCATCCTGTACACAGTTTTGAAGCACTGGGAGGAACTTCAGTAGAGAAAATTTCAAGAGTGTCAAGCAGGTTTACCTTTTGGACGCTTGGATGGTTCAGTGGGGACCTCAAGATCAGGTGTTGTTACATATTGACAATGGTCAGCTTTGAGGCCAACCCTATTCAAGCCTTCTATGTGGGGACCTGGGCTGACAAGAAATTCAGACGCACAACATTGATTTCCTCCCAAGTCAAGAGTGTTGGATGTGTTAAGACTTGGAAAGCTGAAGTGATGCCCACCAGGTACATTTGAAAATCTTCCTTTGATTTTGACTTAGCTTGCAAAATGTCATATTTAATCATTTGAATTGGTGAATTTGTCTATCACATGTTACATGCATGAGCGCATACAAAGTAGTTGAAAGTGAAATTGATAATCATTCGGACCAAGCTTTTCAGCAAAGGTAATAACGGGCCGGATTAGTTAAATATTTAACTAATTCTTTCCAAAAATCCACAGCCATGAATCTTTAGGCAAGGATTAGCCAAATAATCTTTAAAAAATCTTCAAGCTGGGTCAAATTTGACACCAGCTAACCCCAGTGTTAGTTAACTCGATTCACCCCTCACCTCACCACTTCATCGCCACTTGACTCACCCCACCCTCTGGATATACACTCTCAACTTCAACATCTCCAACTCCAATACCTCGAACTCTAACCACACCTCACTCGATCCTCTCAGCTACGTTTAACATTACTCCGGTTTCACATTGATCAGGTACAGATTTGACTCTTGCCTCAAATCTTCGTCACTCATCCACTACCTTGCCCATCTACCACAGCACTCCCATTCTTTAGTCGATCATTGTTTTCCATTACAGTCTTTCTCATCACTTTTCACTTGTGTCTTACTATTCTTATAAAGGTTGACTCTATCATAGTGAATTGTAGATATTGCTGCTTGAGCTTACGAAGGGCACAAAATCGATTTTCAGATGTATGGTGATAATCCGAGTTGAGAATTGAATCATTTGAACCACAACCTGAACGTTATTTTGATTTTGAGGACAATGCATCTATTTGATTAATCAAATATCGAATCGGAATGATACAAAAGGGCCTATACCAAAATGTCTGTTTGAGATTTGAGGACGACTTAGCTCTATCCTAGAGCTAACGACTGTGTACCCAATCTTTAATTTGGGGTTTAGCTTTTGTAAACTCCAAATTGAAGACAACGATTGTGGGATTTGGGTTTAGTTAGCTTGGCCCTGGCTAAAGATCTGTAAATTTGGCCTTGCTAAAGCCAAATTTAACGCCAACGATTGGAGATGCTCTCAGATTCAAAGATTGAGAGGTATTTCATCTGTGACATCCTCATGGAGAAAATGTCAACAAAATCACCTCCCATTCTTACCCCGAGGATTTCCAGAAATGGGCAGGGAATGAAGGAAGAGATCCATACATTTTAGGATCAGATCAAGAGTCAGTTTTGACATTCAATCTGATTGATCCATTGCAAGGGTTATTTGTGTGATCACCGACGGGGGGTATTTCTTTCTGGCTCATGTGTTTGTTTGTGTGCGCGAGGACATGAGCTGTTCAGGTAGGTGCAATGGCGTCCTGCTGTGGGTATATATGGTGTAATTGCGGTCAGGCCGCGGGTTGTCTTCTGATTCTCACTCTTTTCAATCAAAACTTTTGCTGAGCCTGGTGCTTGAGCCTTCTGATTTGATTTATCTCGTTCTTGTGTTCTATCATAACTCATTCTCGTTCCACGATATTCGAAGAATAGGTTAAATGAGCGTTCTGAATCAAGCTTCGTCCAAACACCATAGACCTGGGATCGCGATCGAGGCTGGTAGCCCGGAGCTCATATGCAAACTTCAAGATCTCGCAAAGCGTATCCCCCAGTTACGAAAGACCGGCGACAACTTCAGTCTATGGGAAAGACAACTAAACGTTATGCTACGAAATCTAACTGGGACATCTGACTACTTTCAACAAGATTTACACAAGCACGATCCAAAATTAAATCAAGCGGTCTTTAGTCTTATATTCTGGTCAATTGATGAAGAACTCCAGCAGGACTTTATCATTCATGGTTCTGCTGGAGACGCCTTTCAATTCTTGGCAAATCGGTTCCAATCAAGATCTTTGGCTCAATGTATCATCAACCGTACCGATTTTCCAGAAGAAATTCTAGACAACATCGTGAGCATGGTTCACCGCCAGTCTACTAAAGAGCACACGTCTATCAAGGAAAGAAAGATGGAGCGCCAAACCCGGACTCGAATACAAGGTCTGAAATTCGATATATACGTGTCTCACGAAGGTTCACCGATTCTCAATACCTTCCAAAACTTGGCGGCAGTCAATCGAAAATTTCACAGGCTTTGTCTTACTAGGTTATGGCAGGTATGATCATTTTCTTTGCATGGATTCCGCTTTGATCAACATCAAATGTTAAGTTTACTCATTCAAATTTATCAACCCTATCAGGACATCACATTCCCAACTTCGGTGCCTGCTCCTATGTCACTTTGGACAGATGATTTACTTTTGAAACACGCAGCCTTAGTAAAATCTGTCGAATTTGAGTTGGAAGATCAAATCGACCGTCAGGGTAGTCATCAGTTATCAGAAAGTGAAAGGAGCCTCTATGATAATACATCACTCATCAATGACAATGAAGAAGATACCAGATGCGGAATTGGACTTTTGAACATTGTGAAGATCTTCAAAGTCTGCTCTTCGATAGAGTCAGTAACAGTGCATCTTCCAATGGTTGGACACGACGAATGGTATTCTGGTCTTACAGTCCTTTTGAAAAGCCCATTTCAACTTCTCCCACAACTCCAACATTTAAGAGTATTGGACGATGAACACAGAGTTCTTTCAGGCGACTTTATAATCGATATCATCAAGATTTTACCATCTCTCACTTCATTAGAGATCAACTCCTTTATATTTGTTCAAAAGCAATCTGAAGAAGAATCATTGGGATGGAATGTGGCCCAGCTTCAGAAGCTTCGCAAACTGACTCTGTGGTACATCACATGCGAGGATCACACATGGAGCCTGAGGTCTTGGCCTGAACGACTCACAAGCCTTAAACTTCAGTGCTGTGGTGAAATCACACTTGGCATGGTGCATGAACTTATCAGTGGTAACACACCCTTTCTGACTCAACTTCACCTGGGGCTTGACGAAGACGACATGGCATATTTCACAGTTCAGTTTGATCTCCCGGCTCTGGAAAGCCTCCACGTAGATAGTCAAAGCAGAATTGATTTACTTTCAAGCTTTGAAAACTGTAAAAGTATAGAGTTCCTTGGATATAATGGCGATATAGATGATAATATATGGGACTCGATGAAAAATCAATTATCTCGACGAACTTGGCCTAAGCTCTTGGTTTTGGATGTTAGAAACTTATCTGTTTATCTAGGGGAAGGAAAGATAGGTAAAGAGAAAATGAAAGAGATATTGATGTCATTTGGCATAAAAGTGACAATCATACAGGATTGAAACAGATAACTAAATGGCTACCATCACGAATCATTTTCAAATAATGTGATGGGCTGTGATTACATGATCTTGATTGAGTTTGACTAAATTTTACCTTTTGTTTGAGATCCTGCTGTTGTCTAATTACTTTTCTTCGTTGCTTTAAATAATGTGCTCCTTTGATTTTGTCCAACTTTTCTTCCTCACTGCCCTTGAAGCTATTAACCTTGAGCAATCCAAATTTGCGCCACACTTCCCAAATGCTTTGGTAATTGGATCATTATTTTGTTTCAAGGGCGGGATTTGTCAACTTTTTTATGATTATATCAGAGGAAATTAATTAAAAAATATCAATCAAGTGTAAGAGATGAACAAAAAAATTGATTTCAAACAAATAGTCTTTGAATGAACAAAAACTCATGCACATGAAAGAAAATGGTTTCTGCTGCATGCAGACATAAAAGATGCCCATGTACTTTAAAGTAATTTTGACATATAATTTCCAACTGATTGATAGACTACAATTATGGTTCAAAATAATTTGTCAGAAACCCAAAATGAGTCATTAGAATCTTTGATATTGGGGTTATGAGTGAGCAGTATATAGTATGAAGATGATTTACTGGAAAGGATTTGATCCATCTCACTTGACATGGTGCCAAGTATCCTTTCACACATCTACAACCTTCTAATCTTGAGAAAATGGTCTACCTTTAGATGTCCAACCAACTTCTTCTATATTTCCCCCCTTTTGTCCGTAAGCTCAACACAGTGTCTTTAGGTCATTATAGTTTACATGTGTGAGTCACAAAGCAAGATTTATGTGTTTTGAAGCTAACTCTAGAGAAATATGTTTTGTATTAAGAGATTTTATACACAGGGTCCAAAACAAAAGCTCACATAGAGGTGAGCATGAAAAGCTTCAGGTTTTCTCCAACTTTTCTACTTTGTTCCTTCCAAAACTGACTGTGTTCAGCACATGTTGATCATGTAATCAGAAATGATCAACATGAGCTGAGAGCTGAGCAGATGAGCCAGGTTTCCTCAGACTTTATTGCTCAGCCAAGGAGCCTGAGGGAGGGCTACCTGATATGTTCAGGTCATCTCAGGCCCTGACTGAACACTCAGTCTGTACAGACAATTTCAAAGGCTTGACTATAATGGGCACAATCCTGAGTATGTGGAGGTGTGCCAGCTGATTCCTGAGTACTCATCTATGCTCAAGAAATGCTCATTTGGAATGCTCAATCAAGATGAAGATGAGCATGCTTGAGCAAGATGGAAATTTTGCATGCTGATCACCTGAACACAACAAAAAATTGTGACATGAAAGGATAGATGGAAATGATTGTTTTTTGAACAAATATGGAAGGCTTTTCATGCTCACCTCTATGTGAGCTCTTTTTTTGGCCCCTGTGAGACCAGCTAGCATTTTCCTCATCTACAACTACAGCTGGTGTAAAGCACCACCAACATATTCACCTTAGATTCCAAACCTTGGAACAAAGCTTCCCAAGGTTTCTATCTGAGGTAATTCTCAGCACAGAAAAATACCACAGATAGAAACCTTGAACAAGGTCTGTCCAAGGATTTGCCTACAATGATGCCTTTTATTTCTCAGCGCAAAACATCTTATCAGTTTCAAGGATATTGTTTTTATTTTGTGCAATGAGACTTGGTAGATATGATCAGGTCTGGTGCAAATAAAAAAATTGATTGAATATAACCAGCTCTCACTTTGCAGCCAATAGAGTAGATATATGCATGCAGGCCCCTGTTTTAGATGTCAGCCTGCACATCCATGGCCCCATCACTGCTGTCCACCTGCATCAAGTACCACTCATTTATAGGTACTTTTCCTGGGTTTTTGGTTTTGGTTGTTGACATGGAACTTCCTGTAATAAAATTGCCTGATTCAATCCATTCTTCATTAAAAATACTCAATTGCAAGTGGATATTAAGACATCCAAGGTGATATACCCAAAAGCTGCCGAAATTTTGTTAGGTGGGAGCTTGACACATCTCCAGTGTACATTAACAGATTATCCAGCAAGGGATCTTCCTTTCCTTATTTGATGTTCCCCTCAACTTGGTCATCTGTGCCAGTATTTTGGCTGCTTTGGCATGCTTTCCTTTCAGTAACACCTTTTGTGGCTTAGCCGCCAGATTTTCTGTTTATTGTGATAATTTCCAGGAAGTTCCTTATACAAAGATGATTATGATGTATCTACAGTTGGACAATGGTTTCATCAAATAAAAAAGAAAGCTGCAGTATATTTCCAATATCCTGCTATAGATATCTCCCCATTTTGTTCCACACACCCCCTCAATCCCTAAGTAGATTCAAAGAAGACTTGAGCCATAATCTCCAAAAACACACAAAGTTTGCAATTGTACATATGTAACAGCAAGAATCCATTAGACACTCAGGAAGAATACTGATCAGGGAAAACATTCAACAATAGAAGTGATTGACAAAGGATCACTTGGACAATGGTAATCAATCTTTGACTTGACTTGAAGAGATCACAAAGTTCAATTTTGATCCTATCAATTGCTCAGAAGCAAATCAGATATGTGGAAACAAGAAGAGGACTGAGTATAAATCCTAGTCCTAGATAAGATCTCAATGTTGGATTTAATGCAATTGATCTCTTAGAAAAGGCAATAGCTAGGTTGCACAAATTTCAGCTCTGAGTGATAATCTCAAAGTTAGATTTTGATACCATTGATTGCTCATAAAACATAATGACTAGTTATAAATTTGCTTGTTAGCTCTTCTACATTTGTAATTCAGGTTCTGGATTTACTGATTAGAAAAACAAACAATCACAAGATTTCAATTTTTGAGCTAGGTCACATGCATCAAGACAAATGCTGAGCCCTTTGTCCTAAGTCTTTTTTGAAATGTGTGAGGCCTGAAGGGAGTGTAACCAATTTGTATCAAGCACTTTGCATGCCTGTAAAAGATCAGGGCCCAAGTCTTGTCTTAAACTGCTTAGGCTTGTAAGGGGGTGCGTGGACCAAACTGAGGGGTGTCTTTACTTGGATCTTATATTTCAGGCTTAAGTATATTTCTGGAATTTCAAACCCTCGTCTAGTATGATATTTGCACATCCCTTCAGGCTAACCAAATACATTCTAATCTTCAGTTATTCATGAATAATCTATTTTGCAATAGATCACAAGAGTTATGTTATGACTGAGATCTTCATAATGTATAGTTTACAAACAAGATCTTTGGGAATAGCCTCAGAAACTAGAGAGTTGTAGTTGGCATGAAGTGTTAAACAAAGTGGCTTCTGTGAAAGGGCAAATGGCATACAGACAAACGGGGAAGCTCAGCAATACTACTCCGGAAGAGGTGCAGTAAAAGACGGCAGACCGACAGACTCCCCCAATGAGTCTAATCGAGCCACACCAGATATTTTTTCAGTCATTCCTCTTCTTTAATTGTAGTTTTTTGCCTAATGGTATTTTTTCATCTCAAAATTCCAATCAGAAAATCCAAAAAACCACCCTGCAAAAAATTGAAAAAACCATAGTATATTCTATTCTACCTATAATCTCTACCAGTTACTATTCAAAAAGATTCTAGCACTTTATGATCCCCCTTCAGTCTCGGTTTTTTCATCTTCCCGCTCACCATCCTTTTTGTCAGACAAAGGGTTAAATTCCATGTGGTGCCTGCGTTATCTACATACATGTCCTCAATTTGTTATGTTTCTTTCGATATTGGAGTGGGGAGCACTCCAGTGGAGTAGCTCAGCGCCGAGTGTGGACGCCCTCAGTGCTCCGTCTCGATTTTTTCCGCATATCTGATTCGACCACTATATACGCAGTCAGAAAGATCACGACGCTTGAAAAATTAATTGAAGATCTAATTCGATGGAATAGATCACGATGCTGAGAAATGATGAAAAGTCTGACTCGATCACGAGAGATTTTGGAAAACATTGTCGGAACCAATCACGAGATACAAAAACATGGTCGGAGTAAATCACGACATACGATTGACTCAAAGGATGAAGAAACTCTGAGATGCGACGATGCAGATATCTTTTCACGTGCTACTACTATGTGACACTATCACGACATCTATTCATTGGGAAATGATCCAGCAATCGATTGGAAAAGAGAAGGATGGATGGAGAGAAACCCCAAATATCATTGGGATAGCGAATAGTATTGTTTTGGAACAAATAAACCAACTGTTTCCTATGTCTTCATCGATAATGATTTCTCATTAATGTCTGTGCTGCTAATGCTTTGCTGTCTGTCGCCTGCCCCAGACTCTTGTCCGTAGTCCATACTGACACCTGAGTTGATCACAATGGCCGTCTTAGTTGGATTGTTCGGGATTTCTGAGCTTTCGGACCTGTTGTCTTGATTATTTGTTTCATCTTCATCTTCCCGATCTTCTCCTGCACCGTTGACCTCCTCATTTAGTACTACTTTCGCCATCTCTACTTTCTTTCCTGCCCTCGTCCTCTGTTATTCATGTTGGAAAACAAGTGGTTCTCGAAGTAGACCCGGTACCAACAAAACCCGGTTGACCCAGTTGCTTTTTGGCGGTAACTTTGTGTATCATTTGTTGACAGCTCACAGCCAAAAAGTCGATTGCGCCAAGCGGGTTTTTTGGAACCGGATCTACTTTGAGATTGTAAAGCAAAAAAAAACTAAATGAAAAGAACATTGGTTCGAAAAAGAGATCTGATAGAATCTTCTTAGAGTAAGAAGATAAAAGGAGGAGATGCTTGAATTCTTTTTGGGTGGAAAAATTGACCGGAGGAAAAAGTGGAGAAATCTAGGAGAATGATGAAGAGAATGATGAAGTCTGAGATTCATCTTCTCGCGAGGAGGAATTATCGCTGCTAGCTACAACCTCTTTCTCTCTTCATTTTCTCCTAAGGCTTTCATCGCTTCAGCGGGGTCTTTAGTGGACTTGTAGCTTTGACCGCCTACTTTATTGCATCTTACTAATATTACGTGGTACTTGATCATGATTCATCTTGGGTTTCGTGCTACATGGACGAGGGCTATTCCTCGTGCCTCGTCAAAACCCGAGCATAAAATAAACGCTACTGAACAAGCCCTAAAGCTTTTAAAGTTCAACGACTCAACTGTGATTGCTCCTTGCTGCATGTCCTGAGAAGCGATCATCTCAATATTAGTGAGCCTTGGGTCTGGGTCGACCCATGTAAGATGAAAATGGGACGGGAGATCCAGGTTGGTACAAAAAGCTGCCCACGATGCATCATACCCGCTCTCCAGACTTGTATCTGGAAGGCATGTCTCAATGTATGAGGCAAAGCAATCAGAAAGCCCCACCAACAGGCACAGACCTTTGCTCATCATGAATGACTTCATTGATCCCAAAGAATGGGAAAGATCGGAATGTTCTTGTGGCCGCGGAATCGATCAAATCAGGGAAATGCTACAGGTTGTTCAATTATCAAAGGTAAAATGAACAACTGCGTTATCATGCTTCTACAATCGCACTTCTCTGCCGCCGGCCAGATTTCGGATTTCCACAACCTCGAAAGTCTCCAGAGCCGTCAGAATTGACCAGCGAAAGTTTGAGTGATGTACGATTTCCTGTTCCTTGGTTTATCAAAAAGCTTGGTGTTGATGAAGAATCCCCATAAATTTTTTTTCCGCATCAGCATATATTCCCCTCCCCACTGTGCCTGACGCCATCAGTTTTTGCGGTTTGGTTGACTTTTTTTGAATTCAACACCTGATTTGTTTGTTTTGCTTGGGCTCTATTCGACTAGCTCCATCAGACGGCACTAAACAGACGCGCTATCCTCTTTCGTCCTGCTCCGCTCCGCCGGGGAACACCCTTCCATACCTTTCCTGAGAGCTCAGGAACCTGGTCCGCCCTGTTCAACCTATCCTGCTCAAGTCGTCCAAGGTGAAGTTCAAAAGACAAACAACTATAAATACTGCGTCTCAATCCGCCTTGATCACGTTTTTATTCCTTCAGCATCTCGAACTTTTTCATACCACATACCTATCATCACCCAACTTTCAATCAAATCACTTTGAGTCAAGAGACCCACTAATACGACCTTTATCATCAATCATTTCATTCCACTTTTTGGACACGCGCGTTTTACCCTTTCCTTCTGCATTGCCTCCACTCTTATCGCATTTTTCATCTCTTGTTCTCTTTTGAATAACAAACATGTCTGAACGATCGATACCTGCTATGAAGATACTCTTTCTTTGCACCGCCCACAATAGTTTATCTCAACGCTTATCTCTCGTGCTTCAAGAGAGGGGACATCATGTCGCAGTTGAACTTGCTATATCCCCAGAACTCATGATTCAAGCTTCCGAGCTAGCCGCTGTAAGTAGACATTTGTCTTCTTCGCTGTCAACTCGGTATTGGAACCTTTACCTTTGCTGATGACCTTTTTACGTGTTCTTTTATATTCAGCCTGACTTGATCATTTGTCCATTCTTGACGAAAAAGGTACCGGCTGAGATCTACGATAGATATCTTACCTTGATTGTTCATGTGAGTTCCGCCCCACATTTCTCGATCGTGATTCTCAGATCGGATCTCCAAGGATTCCCACTTCCGGTCTCTATAAACTGACTCCCGCTTTCGGACATCATCTCAGCCGGGCCCTCCTGGTGATGCTGGGCCTTCTGCCATTGACTGGGTTCTCTTAGGAGATGACGGTGTTGAGCCTGATTCTGTCAAAGCCTTGGCTCAAATTTCCGAGAACGCCTACGTAGAAAGTGGCCGAGGTCGTTCTCACTGGGGGGTGACTGTCCTTCAAGCCATTGAAGAGGTCAGTCGACTTTCACTTTCTGTCGTTTCCATTCAATCTAGAGCAGAAACCGCCTAATTGACCTACCTTCCGATTGTCACAGTTCGATGCCGGACCAGTATGGGCATGGGATCAGTTCCCCATCTCACTAGATGGCCCTCGCGCCCTCACCAAGGCGAGTCTTTATCGAGGCCCAGTGACGCAGGCAGCTGTTGGAGCGTGTTTAAAAGCCATCGAACGGATCGTATCAGTTGCCGGCTCCCCCAGCTCAATCACTTGTAACCTATCGGCCGAGCCTTCATGGGCTACATCTTGCGTGACCCTTGGGCAGATTTTCCTCGGAGGGCGCACTCGAACTCGACCTTTACTCAAGCCTACCGAACGGGCATGGAATACGGCTATCCATGATGCAGCCTATGTCGCTCGCCGTCTTCGAGCATCTGACTCTCAGCCAGGTGTCCAAATGAAACTCTTTGGCGATCGTAGTCTTTATTTGTACGGTGGTACGATTGAAGAGTCTGGTTCATTACCAGCTGGTCCACCCGGTGCTATCGTTGCTCAACGTGCCTCTGCCGTTCTTGTTCGTACGGCTGATAATAAGGGTGTCTGGATAACTCACCTACGACGCTTGAAGTCAAAGACTGAGACACTTCTTCCGGCCAAGCTTCCTGCTATGTTATGTCTCCGTTCCATTCCTGAGTTGGTTGAACAGCTCAATCTCGATTCGATTCCGGTTTGGAACCTTGAAGGCTTTTCAAAGGTTCCGGGTACGCTTCAAGAGACATGGATCGAGTATGTGACTCTTCAAGGGGACTTTAAGACGGCATTTGTTTACTCTGAGTATGTCTTTCATTCTGTGTGAACATGCGCTTTTTATTTGACTCGCATGCTCAATTTCTTTTCTCATTTTTTCACATCCTTAAGCTTCTACAATGGCGCGGCGTCAACTCATCAGTGTGAAATGCTGTTGATGGCCATCAAGGAGGCTATTGACCCCGTAAATGAGGTCAAAGCTCTTGTTCTCATGGGAGGTGGATATTGGAATAACGGGATCCACTTGGGTGTTTGCTCTACTGATGTCACTGCGGAAAGTTGGAGGAACATCAACGCCATCAACGATTGTGTACAGGCTGTCATGGAACAAAGCAAGATTGTAACGTTTGCTGCCATTAGAGGAAATGCCGCTGCTGGTTAGTGTAGTTTCTTCGCTTCAGTGCCTTCAATTGCTCATTGATTCAACTTTTGCACAGGTGGTTTTGCGTTGGCAACATGCTGTGATTTTGTTTTCGCGGTGGACTCGGTTGTCATCAATCCTCACTATGTAAGTCGCGTTTCTTCCGCTTCTTTTTGATATTACGTTTATTCTGATGCGATCATTCTTTGTGTGATAGCGCGCTGTCGGTCTATACGGTTCGGAATACCACACTCTCACTTGGTATAGCCGCGCTGGTGAACACAATGCTCGAGAGTTTCTACGCGGCATGCTTCCGATGAGCGCGATGGGTGCCCAGCGCCTTGGATTGGTCGACCGAGTCATCTCCAACTCCCCTAGTCTCGTTGAGGACATTCAAGACGCCGTGGCAGCCACTCTATCTGCTCCCGCGAATGAGGCTGTGGCCGGCGCTCCATGGACTCGTTCTGTCTGTGGACGTGCTGCTACAGTTAACAATGCCGAAGCCGTCCCTCGAAGAAAAGAAGCTTGGTTTCAGCGACTTCCTCAGCCATTAGCTGAGTATAGACGTCAAGAGTTGGACTTTATGAAATACAACTTCACCGATCCACGATATCATGCATGTGTGGCGACTTTCACTGGCAAGGGTGCAGCTCAATCAACTCCCTTACGGTTTGCACTCCATCGACGATTTTCGGGTTGGCATTCTCCTTTGAAGATGGATCCAGAGGAGCATATCAATTATTTTGCCTATCCTACACCTCTCACAAAAGAGGAGGTTCACGAGGCTTTACAAATCCCCGCACCATTTGGGGAAATTCAATTGCTATCTCCACCGCCTCTTCGTATGGTCACTCAAACTACATTTGCACAAACTCCTCCTCCTACGTTCCCCTCAACTGAAGTCACGCCCATGAACTTATCTGACGAGGAGGAATCGCATCGAAACGGATTTAGCCATGTGATCTCCCGTATCAAGGCAGTGCTGAACCCCAAAGTTGAGAAGAATCGAATCCGAATCCGAGTTTTGTCGACGCCTAAACCTTCCTCTATTTCCAAGGCCACATCCGCGGCAAGATTATCATTGAGTCCGACTAAGGCTGAATTGGCACCCACTACTCATCAAATGGCGTGCTACTATAATGCTATTGAAGCTCCTCAATAGGTCTCTTTGAAGTGATTCGTTGGTCTGCATTCCAATCATTGGGTCGTGGGGTTATGTTAGGCAACGTAGAAGCGATACCGGCGTTTGGTAGTGTAAAGAGTTCTGGTGGATTGTTTTTTGCACTTTTTTTGAAAACCCGTTGTATATTTCCATCGTTTCATACTCAATCATTTCAACCACTTTTCATTTCCATTCTATTTTTCAGCTTTTTCTTCCGATTTCAATTAGTTTAGGACACTAAGTTATCATTTTCTTAACCTTCTTTTTTCATGATTTGTGTCTCCTTTAATGGATTAGTTCATACCTTTTTTTGTATCTTAGTCAAAGTCCATATGCTGATACATAAAAAACTTATTACAAAACTATCAAATCGATGTGCGTCTCCTTTACGCTGAGATTAGACTTGATCTTCAACTTTTTGAATGGCCATCAAATGCTTCAATTCTGACTGATCGCAATGTCACACTATTGATATCCACTCTGTTATGACAGTTTTGCTTTATTTCGAAATCTTCCGACGTGTGATGCACTGTCAATGAGCTAACCAATACAAAGCTCAGACAAATAACGAAATTATAGACAGATAAAAAAAGTCAGGGGGTTCAAGTTTAGAGATGGATTTGCTTCCCTCTCATAACAAGGTTCCAGTATCTTGAGGCTCGGCTTCACTTCGACTATTTCAGCGTGCCTGAGAAGCATGCGACCGAATATATCAGCAATTTTTCGCAAATTGTGGAAACTAGTCTTGTCCACTTTCCACCTCTTGAGAAAACCATCAATCCGGGCACGATGTTGCAGAGGGTGGCGATGATACGTCAAGTAAAACAACGTGAGGCACCACCTCATCTCTGATCAATACGAAGGAATTGTTAATGTCCATTGGCTACCGAATTCGTGGCACGTTAGGATCGTAAACCCGGAATAGAAAAATCGCCACAATGATGACAACAAATACATCATCCCACATGCATGTTTGAAAAAACATTGAGATAACACACTTCAATCGGATAAATGCATAAAATACAAACATGACAACACATAATAAAATAACAATCACTTCACATAACTATACACCCTGTACTTCGACATCTGAATTCTCTGTACTACCTAAGATCGTATTAGTTTTATGGAAAACAAATGTCTTTTAATCAAGGTACCGAAAGAAGGTACTGTCAACGAGATAATCAATTTCCCAAAAATCTAAATATCAGATCACTTACAATCTCCCCACCCTTCGTGGTCGCGACATGTTCATGTGAATCTTCCTCATCATCTGACTCGAGCAGTTGGGATTTGAGATCCACTATGGTGTCATACAATATGCTATCATTTAGTTCCTCAAGTGAATCACTCAAGGAGGTATTAATATGATCCCACGTCTCCAACTCGGCCAGTTTTTTGGGTTCCTGTCGTCAGAATGATTACAAAACATATTCAACACATCGACGCGAGTGAAATCGAATCTTTCCAACATACTTTTTGAACATTTGATGGCTTGTATTGCGTGGCAAGCTGAAACAATTGTGAGGCCTCAGGAAGGGAATCTGTATCACTTTCTTGACCGACAGCGTCTTCGGCTACTTCGTCGCTTGCTTTGGTCTCGAAGCATCTACATCCCAATAAGTCGTGCGTATGGCAAGGAGTTCCAGTGTGAAGTTCAAATAATCGCTTCAATTCGTCCGAAGTGAAGGTATTCCCCCGATCAAGAACTTCGCGGCTCACACCGGCATCTTTAATTAGATCTGTAGCGAGACTTTAGGATAAATAAGACGATTTATTGTCCATGCAAATGTTGATTCATTAGTAGCTAGACACCAAAGGTTTTTGCATACCGCTTTCATCTGGCTTACCCAGTTTTTGTAACTTGTCGCTGGAAGATACACTCATCAATGGTACCAGTTGCAAGGAAACGATAGATATGACAAGCCTTCTTCTGCCCTTGTCTCCAAATCCGAGCCATTGCCTGCAAATCGGTTGCGGGGTTCCTACGTTACAAAGATCGCATGTCAAAAAGACGACAGCGTAATAACAAGCGGACCAGAATTTACCAATCGCTATCAAAAAGTATTAAGCGTGATGCCCCGATCAAATTCAGTCCTACCCCTCCAGATTTGCTGCTCAACAAAAAGACAAATTGAGACCGTGCCGTCATACGATTGAAAGTCTGTACAATGTCGTCCCTCTTGGTTTGGGGTGTCTTTCTGCACAGGCGTGACCATTGCACCATTAGTGGATATTGTTGTATGAGCTATGACTGATTAACCACTCACCCATCCAACCGACAAAGAGAATAATTTTGCGATCGACAGTGTGCTTCAATCACATCGAGGGTCGACGTGAAATTCGAAACTAGAGTTAGTGACTCTGTATCAGTATCAATCATCAGACACCTTTAAGACGCAAAAAATTGACCTAAGATAATTTTCTCATCGGTCTTTGCGTGTAGAATTTTGAGAAAGCTTGCCAAGGCGATCATTTTCCCTGATGTAGTATACCAGAAATTGAGGAGTATCGGGAGTCAATAGATGTTTTGAGTATTTGGTATTTTGAAACTGTACCTGATAGTTTGATGTCATTGCGTGTGACCCATGCCGGAAACAAGGTAGAAGCATTTTTCGCCAAGTTTTGAATTGAAGTCTCATTTATGAGTAACCCGGCAGACTGGAGAAATACAAGTCACATAAGCTGTAGCCCATTTATGATGAAAACGCCTGCATACATTGCAAAGCTTCTTCAGCGTGTTGATCAACACAAGCTGCTGACTACTCTCTCCAGAGAAAACTGCCCGGATTTCCGGAGATGCCAATGTGGCCGCATAAATTTTCTTTTGAGCGGCCGCCAAGTCTATGAACAAGCAATAATCATGTCGAGGCGGAAGGTGGTGAGCAATCACATCGGAACCCCTCCGCAAGACATAACTATCGCTCAATTCAGCCAATTCGTCAGCCCTTGATCGGCCCAATGCTTTTTGGGATGGGGTTGAACCGGGCTCGCGACTCTTCGCAATAGGCTGCTCAAACTTTTTCTTGAACGTTTGAAAATCAGAAAGGATACCAGGGTTGACAAAATCGACCATTGCGTAATATTCATTCAAATTATTTTGGATAGGTGTACCAGACAAAACAACCCGGCGATGGGTTTTCAATGTTCGTAAGGCTTGTGTAGTTTTGGCTTCAATCGATTTGAGTCGATGGCCTTCGTCAGCAATGATCAAACCTATCGGGGGATATACAGCCTAGAGGTTGTATATTCAGAGTGATATCAGTAGCAAATAGCTTGATGAGACGTAAACGAAGATTTTCGCGGTACAGACATTGATCTCCTGACTCAATGTTCTCAACCTTTCGTAGCCGATGATGATGATGTTGTAATAAGGGCTTGAAGTGAACTGAGGCATCGCGGATTAGATAAAATGAAGTCATTGCGGTCGAGGGAAACAAAACTGACGTGCTTGATGTTACTTTTACCATCGGCAACAAACATATTGAGCCGACTACGACCAAGCCATTTGTTCATCTCTCTGGCCCAGTTCTGAGGTGGGTATCCGAAATTGACATTTAAAGATGAGGAGAGTAAAACCCGAGTATGCGTGGCGAGACTCAAAGACAGACCTTGACAAGAGTCACCGGACACACTATCATCGCTCGTTGTATCACGGGCCCTTGTCCCCCGAGGGGATTTTGACCTGAATGCGTATAAGTCATCAGGACGGGTGCAAGGTCGACGTAGGGCCAAAAAAATCGCAACCCACGTAGCAAAGTCCATAATAACGCGATAGCTTGTATACTTTTTCCCAATCCCATCTAAACAGATCAATACGTCAATATAGCTTACAAACAGAGAGATGAGGCAACTACTGCACCTCGTCTGCCAATATACATCCTTGAGCTTCGTGTCCACGCATACCCATTGTGCACTGAACCATAAATCTGGTCAGCATAGCTGAGCAGTAGAGATCAGTGGGATTGGACATCCTACCTCGTACATGAACTTCACACCGCTAGTTTGAGATTGGTCCGATAGCCATAGTCAGCGTCGGTAAAGAAATAGCTACCCTCGAGATCAAAATGGCCTCACTCGACTTGATGAGGGCGTAGAAAGCGCGATATGAGCGGGTCAACTACCACATCAACGACTGGGATATCTCTAAACATCTTCATCAGCTCAAAGTATTGAAATAGACACAGATGATGTGAACCCAACTTGGGATTTAGTCTATTCAACCAGCCAGCATCAGTCTTGGAAGCACTACTGCTCCAGGTACGTTTGGCTTTGTGATTGATTGTTCACGTCACCATTGTAACCGTCATATCAGTTGACAAAGACAGCACTCAAATGATGCATATACGTATAATTCTTGCATGCACTCACATCAAATCGTGGCTTGAAAGTCTTCTTAGGGAGAGAATTTCCTGTTGAATGCAACGGGGTGATGAAAGGTGAGACGGTATCTAAACGAGCTCGTGGCTTTGATCAGGATTCGGTTTTTTGCACATTCAGAACGCCAAATGACCGACCATCTTTCTTGACAATGTCGCTCCAGCCAGATTCGTCCTCGCGAGTTTGGCCAGACTCTAGAAATTCGATCTCGCCCGCATCGGCCTGTCTTTGAATTTCCAGCTGTCTACCTCCAACCTTGAGCTGCACACCGGATCGGACTTCCGCCTGCAATCCAAGCATCATACTCCCAAGTGTCTTGCCTTTGACCGAGTCCTTCAAGACAGCCATGCAGCCGGATGAGGAAGGGTATAAGACCAGAAAGCCGTCGTCCCCCCAAGTACTGGTTTTGCTTGAATGCATACCTTGCATCTTGCGGTAGAGACACACAAAATACAAAGGTCCAGTATGGTCCTTCAACTCGAGTTGATCGGTATTTGTTATGGGTTGGGCTTCAGTAAGATTGGTGTCAGACCGACGCCGCTTCTTACTCGCTAGGTACGTAGAGGACACCGCTAGATTTTCTGTAGGTTCGGTCTCTTGGTTGTCTTCTGCCTGTGTGCTGGTCTCTGCTCGAGAAGGGGGACAGAAGGGCCGATTAACCAAAGGCTTTGTTGCGATTTTCTGCAGGTACATGCTTGCGGTGGGAGTATTCCGCGGCCGGGAGGCGGTCATCATTGGAGGTTTGAATGTTTTTGCGGGTTTTGGGTAGGTGACAATGGCCTCTATTGGGGCCAAATAAAAAAAACGTTGCTTCTTGAGCGACTTGCGACAGGGAGACTGATAAGTCAACAGAGGATGCCCACCCAGCGGTCTAGTAGGTTCTGCAGCAGTCGAGCTGAGTTCACGTTCGATTTGCTCTCGAGTCAAGACTTCGTCGATCTACGGCTCGACTAGCTCATGAGTCACCAAGAAGACTGACAAAGCAGATAAATCAAAAAACCTCAATATCTTTTCCACCGACGGAGAATTCTTTTCCAGGCTCTGCTACCCATCCCGACGCCAAGGAACCAGAAGAGAGCCTGATTATTTTTTGTATAAAAAGAACGCATTGATCAACAGGTTGATCACAAAGGCAAGCAGATCAATGCCAACTCTTGGCCTGTTTCGCGACATTTCAAGACGCAACTCGCGCCCCGAATGTACAATATTCCATCGCCATCCCAAGTTTTGTTCTTGCGCGTTTGGGGTTTCCTCCACATGCACTGCCGATTCAAATGACGGATTGTCATCAGTAACGAGTTTCCAATTCTCCTTCCCCATTGATTCGAAGGTCGCGCACCGTGCAATATATGGTTTCTACAGGCGTGTCATCTTTGGATTGACGGTCTTGGAACCTCTGGCGTTGCATCTTCTCGGCTATGATCTGTTCAAGACCTCGAGGCAGTCGACCTAAGCCGCAAGCGTCCAGGAATGCGTAAAGGTAAACGTGGAGGCAGTGATGAGTCTGACTGATGATGGAGGTCACACTGGTTTTCAAAACCGTCGCGTACATACACACTGACACAGGTCACTGAATATTGCATGTAGTCAACCCTCGCTGTAAGCATAAGTAAATGGCGGTGATTGTACATACAGGTGTTCAAAGGCATAACGACACCTGTAAAGTCCCATAAATTTCTCATTGCACCACACTCACCGTGCAAGGAAACATCACATCAATTTCCTTACAAACACTAATTTTTCTTTGACCACCCACCCACCCCTTCTCCCACCACGCAGACGCAGAGAGCCAACCTAGCCAAGCAGTTTGTGGCCCCAGGGCCACCACACACTAACTCTCTCCGAGTCTCCTAGTATAAGAGGGTTAGAAACAGACTTGATGTGCTACTTAGACATAAATTCTTTGTATGAACTTAGGAAACACATTGATACTAGAATAACTGCTGGGCAAAGGTCTCAAGGGGAGCTTAGGGATTTAAGCTGATTTAATACATAAATGTACAAAAACACTCACGTGATCTGAAAAGTGCACAGAGAGAGATATATAATGGAAATTGAATATACATATACTTAGTGAAAGATGCATGTCCCAAAATGCATTGCAACCAGCACTCAAAGGGAGAGCTCACTTGAAAAGTCCTCTTCATGGCTAATTCCCAGAAGTTTGATCCTGGAATTGTTTGTAAAACTTTAAAACTAAACCTTGGTCAACTTGTAGGACTGAGCCTACAACAACAAAACACCAAGACTCTGATGAAGTCCCACAACCTCACTGAGTATATAGCTTCTTGGATGGGTTAAAAACTGGTATGTTCACACAAGAAATGATTGTTGAGATTTTAACAGGACGGGGACTATGGGAAGCTATGGTAGATATTGGCTGTCTCTCTAGGCTCTTCCAATGTGTTATAATTTGACTTGACAATTTTGCAATATCTTGAAGGTACAAAAATAAACAGTTCAAGGTAGAATTTTGATGTGATCCAAGGTGTGGTGAGTGTTTTTTATTAAGATCAGGTTCTCATGTACACATTCTTTGTTCAGTTTGATTCTGGTTTTTGGTGCATCAAGAGTGTGGAAGCTATCAAAGATATTTATGTCACCTTAGCAGTTTGTTGTGGTACATATTCCCTTGACATGACAGGTGGGTAGAGATTTGTTCGATGATCTATAATGGCTTAGGCCGGTTCTTATGTTGAGGAGTTGAACCATTCACTTTTGGTTCAGTTAAGTATGAATATCAGTTA